GTCAACACATGCTGGTTGGAGTTTCATTACTCGCTGGAATATGCATATTAATGTTATCACGATTTGAAAATCGTGTGCGTTTGCAGCTTGTGCGTGTTTTGTTTTTAATAACAACTACATGAATCCATAATGTCATGATTCACTGTGGTTATACTCGTGGACTAAATTGGAAAGTATGAATCTTGCTCATCACCCAAAGCTGCCTCAACAGCACTTGCTCGGATTAGTGGACGCGGTCTGAACAACTCATCAAAACGCATATGCGTACCAAGTGCAGGCATAACACCGAGTGATTTCCCCAGTGTATGTTCAATGCAAAACACAGCAATGCGAGTGGGAAGTATGTATGAATATTGTTGTTTGAAAACTCTCATTTCATGTATTATGTTATTACATGACATTTGGAGAGAGCGAGAATAAAAAGTTTAATGTTTATAACTTCTAAATTACGAATATTGATCCGATAAAAAGATTTGTAAAGAGAAAGTAAAGAAAAGAAACACATTAAAACTAAAATTCTGGACTGTATCCATCGTCCCAGTCAGTTGAATCACGACGTTTCGGAAGCTGTTTCTGCTACCGTCCTCAGGTAAGTAAAATGGAGGTAAAAAAGGGGGAAAAATGGAAAAAAAATTAAAAGGTAAGGAGGGTTCTGATGTATCCTATACAGTTGGGTCCCTTAGATCAAGCTAATCTCAATCACTGGACAAACTGGCAGGGGACGAAATCAAGGGTGATCAATTCATAGTGGGAAGTTATCAATGGGAGATAAAAAGACGAATCAAGATAAAAAATTATTGAAAGATCCAAATCGTCTGGGACAAGGAGCAGTTTCCTGTTTTTCCTTTTCTCCTTCACTCCATATTCCTGTAGAATATTTCAATTCTTTCTCTGCTCCTTNTAACTTCTTCGTAGAAGTGAAACTTTGGTTTGAACAAAAGGAGCTCAAAGCAAGATACGATCTACCGAAGTGAAATTCGTAAAAAGCATCAAAGAACGTACCCTACTTGACTGTGCTGGCAGAAGAATATATTAAATAAAATATACATAATTTTTCTTAAGAGACAAAGCACTTAAAAAAAAACAATACGGTAAGGACATCAGAAGAAATCTTACCAATATCCATTTTAAATTTCCCTTCACGAAGAACATGGAATTTGTATGATTCATTACGTTCGATGAAGCCGCAATAGGCTTGTAGTCTACCCTGGAAAGGAGGAAAAGTATAAGATTGTTTTTAGATAAAAGGCCTTTACTTACCGACGCTGTCGGTGCGAGACGCCAGAGCCCCGAGGCTTGTGGTGATGGAGGTGATTAAACAAAGTGCGTGATATGAACACATAACGGATGGGGTTGTGCCTGTCTGTCTGTGGATAGAATCAGCGTGACTTGCCATGCAACATTAGCAACAGAACAATAAGTAATTAATGACTACATATGTAGCATGACCCACATGCATTCATTAGTCAACCCTTATCCGGATATGCCTGTCGAGTTTCTATGACCTACAGATTCCTGTTTCAGTCTGAATGGTTGCAGAAACCGAGCGTTACCGTATATACCAGATGAGTTTCTTCATCACTTTGTACACGACGCGGTGACACTGCTCCTAGCATGAAGCAGAAACTCCGTGCACGCAGATAATATTCAGGACAGTCCGTGTCAAAATCGAATAACGTCACTACCAATTTGTAGGTCTCACAATTAAGAGGACGTCTACTATAAATGAACAATTACAGCGTCAATTTCTATACCAGATGTATTACAAGCGAGTCCTGACGTAACTCATCTACTTTGTTGTTGCACAGACTTTCAGTCTTACGGATCTTATGTGGTAGGTTATTTATTTACCTATTTCTAGTTGATTTAATAACGCTATGAGTGTCACAGATCATAGAAAGTCAAATTGTAGGTTGACAGCTTATAATGAATTTGGAAGGATAAGGGAGTAAAGCGACTCGCTTAGTTTCACGTACTATCCCAACATTTCTTTGGAAGGATTGAGGAAATCCATGGAAAACGCCAGTTAGGTTAGCTGATATCAGGCTGAAATTCTAACCGGGAAACTTCCGAATACAAATAAGCATTACAACTTCTTCCAAGTAGCTCGTTGAATGCTGTTAGATTCCGAATTGTTTTATCACATGGACCTGTAAGTATGTTACAATCTGTTGTTATTAGTGGTATTTTCTTCTTGCGATGTACTTACTGTTAGACGTATACATTCTATGTTAAATTTGTCGTATACATTTTCGCACTATCGCCATGTTCCTAACTGCTGAATCATAGAAATACAGTATTTAAGAATGATTACATTGTAATTTATCTTAGTATAATAATTCATAATTTTAGCCAATTAATTAATGCTTTCAAACTGAACGTCAGACGCAAATTTCTCATGTCCGCCATGATGCCACTATTAAACAATGGCTGAATATCATGCCCACTGTAGCTGTGTTCATGTCTGTTAACCGTTAACGTCTGAAACTTACGTCTTCGTAATTTAATAATGTGGTGTGTTTATGCACCAATATGAAGAATGTTGACAGTTTTGTCACATATATTTCTCATCCTGCTGAAAGCTGATTCTGTTCTGCATTACAGATATTAACTGCACCAATACTCCACGTCTTCCATTACAAAACTGTGATGATGCTACAGTTTTGTACTGGCCTTAACATCTCGTCTGGCTATTCACTGGCCACTGATAGAAATGTTTACAGAAAAACACAATTAACCACAGAGTTATTTGGGAATACGGACCAGATTGACTGTTATCGTCATCATCATCATCATCATCATCATCACTGACAAAACAGCCATTTTTGACCCATAGCCTCCCTTAAAATTTCTGCCATATTACATCCGGTTTTCACTTTTTTGGATTTCACAATTCTCTTTTTACAGAGAAAGATCGTCAGCCTTGTATCTAACCAAACTTTAGTCTGAAACACTTATATTGATATAAAAGGTCGTTGGCCTTGTATTTCAGAATACAGTCTCTAAAAATATATTATTTTGTGATTCTAAGAGTCAACAGTAGTTACTTAATATATATATACCCAAAATTGTTTCAAATTAATCTACACATTTTGCATTTCAGAAGTGAACATAATACAAAGCCATGAACCTATCCTAAATTCTTACATTTAGCTACAGATACAACAGGAGCCAATGGTATATGAGTAACGTGACATTAACATAACTGTATTATTAATGTTATCACTCAGCATTTAATAAACATAAAACAAGAGACATTTATGTTTATCATTGGTAGCCTACAAATATGCGCAAATTAATGTTATTTAGTTTAACCTCACCTTACTTTGCCTCAATGCAGTGCTGCTCAAATAGACAGATAAGTTTACATTCATTGCATTCATAATGTTCTCATCTTGGGAATTACTGCTTAGGAAAATATCGTCGTTAGTCTATATTCAGAACTGCAGTAACCGACTCCATGCAGTAGAGCCCTCTTGAGAAGCTGATGATCACTTAGTCTGTCAAGATATTATCCATCATTACCGAGTTAATCACTCAGAATGCCAATTAACCCCATCCGGTGTTAGATGAATCCAGTCCATAAACTCACACCCCATTCTTAAGAACCACTTTTAATATTATCCCTTATGTAGGTCAAGGTCTCGGAAGTAGCCACTTTCCTTTAGGTTCCCCGACTAAAATGTTGTATGCGTTTATTAAAATTTGCAAATTTGAAAAGAACATTAATTCATTCTCAGGGTAATTAGAGATATCAAATGACAAAAGCTGTATTATTGGCTGATATGTCGCTCTTTTTGAGCTGACAAATTTTCTGTCGGTTCCTTTCATATTTAACATAAACTGCTCATTACTTTTCCCAGTGCCGATTTCTTCAAAGTAACGTCCCTGCGTGACAAAAGAAATTAATCTCTATACTATGTGTACGAAGTGGCCGCTCCATAGCTCAAGCGGTTAGTCGCTGGCTTCCCACCACGGCGGCCCGGGTTGGATCCCGGGTCTGGTCAAGTGGGATTTGTGGTGGACAAAAGGGCGCTGTGGCAGGTTTTCTCCGAGTACTTCTGTTTCCCCTGCCAATCTTCATTCCACCAATTGCTCCACAATCACCCTCACCTATCATCTGGGGCTGGTACAATAGGCCAGAAGTGGCCGCAGTACAAGGGACTTAGTCCCACCCCACTAGCAATAAAAAAAAGTGTACGAAGTCATGAAACGTTAGTATCTGTCAGAATATCGTCAACTAATATTGCGATGATACATTGGAGATATTACCATATCTTTAAATCTATCATATGACTCGCATTACATAACTAATAACTTTCTTTCTTAAGATTTCTGGAATTTTTCTAAGTCTCTGACTGGAGTTTAAAGCAAAAAATTTAGAAACCAATGACAACATTATAGTCATGAAATAAAAATTAAACAACGACGTGTATGGGAGCACGTTGGACAAGTAAGCAGTGCAGTGGTCTCTACGAGAACAAAAGAAAAATTGCCTGATGATGGCCCATGTGCGGCCGAAACCTGATGTAAAGAGAAGAAACATGTGAAAAACGAAAGACATTTTAGTAATCTGATAATCACTTTTAGTGTATAAGTTATACTTTTAGCGTCTTAATGATATTTTGCGATTTTAACACATCATAATGTTTTAAAGTTACACTTTTAGTGAGAAACATATTCTAGATATATTTTATATTTTAAAAAATATTTTTTCAATATTGAACGGTGTTTTAATAATAAGGATAATATTTAAAGGTTTGGAATTTACAACAAAAACGCAGTGGCGACTTCTGAATATAGACAAATATCAGTTCAACATTCTATTTACTGCAGAGCCTAATAACTTGAAGTTTGTATTTTTAAATTCTAGCATATCTGTAATGCTTATTGCATAGATGTCATGTAATAATTATTCCATCAAAATTGACCACAATTTTTATATTTTAAGGAATGTTTGAATTCTACTGCACCATTACCTGTCCAATATTGTATTTTGGAGATACAGGAGCAGATGTGGGGATAATATTAAAATAATTGTAGTGAAATATGGCTTGAGGATACGGACTACGTTCTCCTGGCTGAGGACAGAGTCTAGTGGCAAGCTCATGTCAACAGAGAAATGAGAATCTTGGTTATGTCGATGCGGTAATTTCTTGAGCAGCTGAATAACTATCAGCTTCTGAAGTAGGACTCTTCTTTATAGAGCAAGTCGGTAGAAGCTCAACTGCAGTAAGATGCAACTGGATAAATGATTAGGTGTAACGTAGTTCTGTATTTTGGAAATTGTTGTACATTCCTGAGACTACTGCATCTTGAAATTTGGTATAGTACTAAAAAATAAATATGTGGGGAAACTGTTATTATAAAGATTAATTTCCTGTTCTTCTCTTAAAGATGAGACTGTTATTTTTAAACGGCTGGAGTTGTTATTCGTACAACACGTTAAGCCATTTCCCAGCACCTATGCTATACAGAAGTTTGTTCGTAACTTCGAAGAACATTATTACGCGTGAAACAGGAAGAGAGAATTGCCGCGCATTTATCTATCTGCAACCTCAGATCAGTGCCTCAAGCCTCACGCTACGGCAGCTCGAGTGTTAATGTATCATGTCATTGATGTGGCATCAGGAAGAGGTGAGGTCATGTTGGTAGTGGTGCTTTGCTTCGAGACTCACATCAGCAATGCAAATGCCGTTCTCACCTACGCCGCGCTCATTGTACGCCATGTTGTGCACGTGGACAGAGCGTTGCTGTGGGCCCTGAACAGCAGTGTCACAACCACGACGTATTTTCCGGTTACTAAACCGGAAGTAACCCCGGAGACGCTCCTTAGCAATTCTGTAACAATAAAAGTTATTAATATTAGGTAAAACACAAGAATTTTTTTCATGTCTTCTTAGGAACCTAAACGTACTTGTTTGTCCGTCCGTTCATACAAATTAATGGACAAGAGGATTCGATGGGTTGAACATGTAGCATTAATAAGATAGATTGAAAGGGCATAAAATATTTCAGTGATAAAAGTGGAGGTGGAGACATGCTGGAAGACATAGAAATAGGTATGAAGATAATATTATTTCTTTAAAGGATAGGGTTTACTCCTAGGGAGACTCAGTAAATAGGTCACAAATGGAAGAAAAACACCGATCTTCTCTGTATCACTAAGCAGCAGCACAGTCCAGCTTCATGACAGTCTAGGTAGCAGATGCGCATGCGCATATTCAAAAACTGGTTTCAGTAGTCAAAATGGCAACCGTGCTTGAGGAGTATACTACCGAAGACCAGTATTCTGTTGTGAGATTTTTGTGAGAAAAGGACTCAGTATAAAGGATATTCATAAAGAAATGTTTTCTCTTTAGGCCGAGAAGTGTTTGCTGCGTAAAGCGGCCCAAAACTTAGTCGAGAAATTTCTCTCAAAGACGTTCAAAAGTCGCGTATGATGCCAGACCAAGTGCGGAAATGGCTAAGGCAACAGTCAAAAGACTTCTATGCTGCGGGTTTCGACGCACTTGTAAAGCGATGGGACAAGTGTATCAATGTTGGCGGAGGATATGTCGAGGAATTAAGATTTCCCCCATGTTCGAATATCATATGTTTTACATTTTATATTAATTTTACTTCTGTGTTTCATATGTTTCTCAAAATAATCAGCGATTATTTCTCTGAGCAGCACTGACCGGTTGATTACACGTGGTATATGCTGTTCCCAAAGCGATGCTTATGAAAGGTTATATCTTCTAGGATTTAACACTATGTAGTCCGGTGAAAGTCAAGCTACGTTTCGGAGGAGCATATCACCTCCATTTTCAGGATCGAAGAGTAAGCCAAACAAGATGGTAGCATGAATCAGATTTCTTGCTTAGCTTACTCTTCGATCATAAAAATGATGGAGTTATGTTTTTTCGAATTGTCTGTTGACTTTCACCGGGCTCCACAGAGCTAAACCCCAGAAAACAGAGTAGGTTTTCTGCGAGATTTAAACTGAATATTTCAATATTTTTCAGATGAAATTTGTGTTTGAAAGGAACAGCGTGCAAGTATGTGGAGTTCACTCATCTGTCCCAGGCCAGGGGTCAGTGGTGACTCTTGAGAACATGGTCAGGACCCTGCGAGCTCCATGAAAGGTGGGGAATTTCTTGGCCAGTTAAGCGATTATCATCTTCTCAAATATGTCTGCACCATGATGCTAGATATTATCTATAGAGAACATTCAGTTTTACAGTTAAGTTACCGTGTAGTGGCTACTGCTGCTTGTGGTTCTCTCAAATATCATGCGTACGGCTGTGTCCTGAGCATTTTCATGTTTTTAATCAGTTCGGTCTTCTTCCCTACTGACCATTCCGACTTTCCTGTCAACTTCAACTTGGCGGAATATAATTCTGTACATAAGGTTAACGATGACAAACTCTTAACTGAAGCTAGTAAGGGAACTGGTCTAGAAGTAAACCCAGAGGAATCTAAGTGTATGTTGCTGTTTCGTCACCAGAATGCAGGGCAAAATCATGACATAAAGACAGCTGACACATCCTTTGAAAAGTTGGCACAGTCTCAATGTTTTGGAAGGAGAGTACTAAATCAGATTTTTATTCAGGAGGAAAGTAAGAAGGGACTCAATTCAGGTAATGCTTGCTACCACTCAATCTAGAAACTTCTGTCTTCTCGTCTGTTGCCTGAAACATAAACATTAGAATAAGTAAAATTATAATTTTGCCTATGGTTCTGTACTAATGTGAAACTTAGTCTCTTACATTAATGGAGAAACCAAGACTGAGGGTGTTTGAGAACAGGGTGGTGGAGAGAATATTTGGACCGAAGAGGGATGAAAAAATAGGAGGTAGGAGAAAACGGCATAATGAGGAGCTTCATAAATTGTACTCTTCTCCAAGTATAATTAGAACGATCAAGTCAAAGAGGATGAGATGGGCAGGGCATGTAGCACGAATGGGAATAAGAGGAATGCCTGTAGGATATTAGTGGAAAAACCAGAAGGAAAGAGACCGGTACAAAGGCCTAGACGTAGGTGTATGGACAATATTAAAATGGATCTTAGAGTGATAGGATGGAGTGGTGTTGACTGGGCTGTTCAGGCTCAGGATAGAGACCAGTGGCGGGCTCTTGTCAACACGGTGTTGAACCTTCGAGTTGCATAAAATGTTGGGAAATTCTTGTGTGTTTAAGCGACTGGCAGCTTCTTAAGAAGAACTCAGGTCCGTGGAGTTAGCTTAGTTAGTTAGCTTAGATAGTTAGCAGTGACATTTTTAATTTTTTTTTTGCGCATTCGTTTGGAGCTTCGGCCGGAACACCAGCCATCTCCATCGAAATTTATCATGTGTTTCCTCAGGCTTTTTTCGAGTGACAGGAATGTACAAGAAACGAAACAGAACTTCTTTCTCCCTTATTAATTGTATTTAATGCGCACACATTACTTGGTTGAGTCATTATTTTTCGACGGAAAAAAATTGTATAAATCAGGAATGATATTAAAGAAGCTATTTCCACCTACAAATACACTTGACAAAGGAGGGGTTTCTTCTATATTCAAATAAGAATGGAGATGGATAAATTTTTTTATTGCTAGTGGGGTGGGACTAAGTCCCTTGTACTGCGGCCACTTCTGGCCTATTGTACCAGCCCCAGATGATAGGTGAGGGCGATTGTGGAGCAATTGGTGGAATGAAGATTGGCAGTGGAAACCGAAGTACCCGGAGAAAACCTGCCCCAGCGCCACTTTGTCCACCAAAAATCCCACTTAACCAGACTCGAAATCGAGCACGGACAGCCGTGGTGGGAAGCCAGAGACTAACTGCTTGAGCTATGGCGCAGCCGATGGAGAAATTACTTATATAATTTACTGAATATTTGTGGAACAGAGATATTTAGACTTTGAAATACAAAATAGCGAACCTAGCTTTTAAGTTCAAGATGCAACTGCGAATTTGAAACATAAACTTCGAAGTAATGAAACAGGTCTAATTCCTCTCTGACTACCACAAGCAGCAGGCAAAGTACTCAGAAGTAACTTATACAAAAGTACAGACTCTTACCCACAAAGGAAATATTAATAATTACGAAAATGACTTATTCTCGGAAATAACTTCAACAGACTTGCTTACACACTTAATTATATTTACGAAAGGAAGTACGTGTATTAACAACTAGACAACTTACTAGTTATTTCTCAGAATTAACTTGAACAAACATACAGTCTCTTTTTTCCGACAAGGACATTTCAATAATTATACAAATTATGTGTATTATGGAAGCGTGTGTTTCCGTCTATTTTCGTTGCAGGGCGCTTCGTTTTGAGGAAGCAATTTGCAGTACTTTGAGATGTCACAAGTCTCATTCTTAACGATACATGTAGGAATGTGAAGTCGCGACCCTACATCTTACTAATTTCCATTCAACATGCGTTGCTCATTCCTCTAGGCTTCTTTCCTGCTCCCGGGCGCTACCTAGTTCTGCTCTGGAACGTCTGTTTTCCATATATCATTTTCAGTGCTGTAGTAATAATTCCGGGGCGATCAAAGTGAGCCCACGGTCTAAGGCATGAGTCGTCTTCGCCCGCTCGGACACTTGGATCGTGGATTCGAATCCCACTCAATGTATGGATGTCTGTTTGCGTTTATTCTCTGTTTGTGTTGTTCTGTGTATAGGTAGCGGCCTTGCGACGGGCTGATCCCTTGTCCAAGGAGATAGACAGATAGATAGATAGTTGGATGGATGGGTGGATGGATGGATAGATAGATAGACATATAGTATAGATAGACAGAGAGACAGACAGAGAGCTAGATTGATGAGTATATAGATAGACAGATAAAAATATAGATAAGTAGATATATAGATAGACAGACAGATAGATAGATAGATAGACAGCAATACAGATAGACAGACAGCCATACAGACAGATAGATAGATAGATAGATAGATAGACACACAGACAGCCATACAGACAGATAGATAGGCAGATAGACAGACAGCCATACAGACAGATAGATACATAGATAGATAGATAGACAGACAGATAGGTAGATAGATAGACAGGCAGATAGATAGACAGACAGCCATACAGACAGACAGATAGGTAGATAGATAGACAGACAGATAGATAGATAGACAGACAGCCATACAGACAGACAGATAGATAGATAGTAACAATTCCCACTATATGTACGGTATCGGATATTTAACACAGATTTCCAAGCGTAGCGATGACGGAAGTTTTTAAGAAAGGCAGATGTTCAGTACTATCAAGTGGAACAGATCGGATCGCACCAGCGGTACATATCCACGTCAGCACATTACCGGACCCCTGTCCCGTGCAAACAGAGCGCGAGAATTTTGTTTTGTCCTACAGAGGCTCCTACACTGCAACATTTCTGAAACTAATTGGAGTGATGCTTGTCTGCACTTGCACCTCTCTCATCGATCAAACGTACGTACTTCCTGAATATCGGCAGAGATTACGTCACTCGAAGTGACCACACCCAGCCAGCTTCACAAACGAGGCTCTTTATGCATGTAAACATGTTTTGTCCTTCAAACAGATTCACAAACGTCTTTATTCTAATTCAGTCTAAGTTTAATTAAGCAGAAACTCAAACAAAGAACGTGTTGAATGCAAAATATATCAAAATGTGTCCAAATATACTACTACCGAAAAATTGTGGTTGGTGACAACTTTACTGCTCTGCTTCCAGGAATTGGTTTTTTCTCTTTTAGTTTCTGTGGGTGGGGTGAGAGTGAGCCCACTTGGTACGTCGGCCACTAATTGTCCTATTACGTCAGTCCCGGATGAGAGATAAAATTGGTGGAATGAGAACTGGCAGGGGAAACCGACATACTGAGAGTAAACTTTCTCCAGTGTCACTTTGTCCACCACAAGTCCCTCATGACCTGACCTATTACCGAACCCGGGCTGCCACGGTGGGACTCTGGAGATTAACTGCTACTACTGGCCCCTGCCGGCAATCTTCTCGATCACTTGTGGAGCAAAGGAAATGGCAAATAACATCCAAGTAAATTAAGATAAACATAACTGGTGACTCAAAAGAAAATTATTTTTTAACTTAGATTTTATCCACAGTAATATCTGCCTGGCCTGCGTAGGTTTAGGACAAGCAGTACGACAGGAAGAAATTAATCTTCTGTAACGATTGGAGGTGACAGCCACAGCAAAGCGCAAGAAATTATCGACCCGCCTCTTCCTGGTGACAAATATATTAGTCTAGTTCCGAGTTAAACAAATTGAGCCATATATTTGTGGTTTTACAGAAAATAGAGTTAAATACAAAAGTGATAAAGTGAGATACAACCATCATGAAACTTTCCTCGTTAAAAACATCTGGAGGAAACCAAACTGTCACTAAAACACTTTCCCTTAAGAGACGTAATGAAATAATGGGTTTCATACGTTGGTACATAAGGTCTAAAGTTTGTTTTCTTAGCCTGGAAAGTGTCCTTTACTGACTTAACTTTCTCTGCTAACAACACAGAAGAAGGGCTTCAGTCACCTTTAAGAATACTCTTCTCTAACGAAACTGTTTAGGATAAATCAGAGGAATTTAAATCCATTGAAAAACTTTGTGTTGGCTACTCAGTCGGTACAGAGGTAAGGGGAATATACGGTCCATAATGAAATGTTGCAGGTTCTCTAAACAAACAGTGCCTCAAAAGTTGTCTGTAATATATTATAAGTAATAAAAGTAAAACACCTGTTATCCTTTTATCTTAATCTTTAAAGCGCCAATTATTAATATATTTAGAACAAAAATTGTACCAGTTTATTTTTATGGACACGAAAAAATGATCTCTTCTTTAGAAAGAAGTGTTTTAAGCCACATTGTGCAGCGAAGTAATTGGGCATAAAGAGGAAGAAGTAATTGTGCAATTTAGGATATTGTGACGTACATACCCATTGTTAGGCAACGACTCGATAAACATATTCTCAAGCAAGCAAAATCCCTCAATAATAGAGAGGCTGTTTTCCGTGTGGTCCGTGACAAGTTGTTATGTAGAAGTGTTCGTCAGAACAGAGTGGGTAGTCGAGAAGAGAAAAGTCTAGTTTCGAGACGCCAGCCTGCCGGGATATGAGCTTGGAATTGAATTGAGTCTTCGGAATTAGCATTTGCAGAATAATAGCAAGAAAAAGATTAAGCTGTGAAAAGGAAACTTCATGTATGACTTGAAGTGACAGTGAGACTGTTATGAATCCGTTGCCAGGATACGACTAGTGAAGACTGAGAACCCTAATAAGTGTGTAATGGTGAACTATAAAGCCTGTAGAAGAGCGATAGCGCTGTATTGCCTGTAGTCTCGCACTGTGTGGCTGTGTAAGGTGTGAATAAATCAAATTCAGAACACGTATTCTAAGCCACGCAACATACCCCTAAATAATGACAATATTATACGTAAAAGCAGGAAATTTACAAGTAGATGCTATAGGGTTGTTCTGACGATGGTGTATAACACACAGAGACACTGGACCAGTGATTGAGGCTAGCTCTTTCTAAGGGACCCAACAGAGTAGGTGTCTTCCCTCACCTGAGGACGGAAACAGATCCAATTTCCGAAACGTTGTGTTTTTTCTTAGTTATTTAGAATCCGGACGATGGGCAAAGTCCGAAAACCCAGTATCTCTGCAGGAAATTTACCATTGACACAAATTACATAACATAATTAGGATCGTAAGAACTGGGAGGCTATGATGGGCTGGACGTTTAGCTCAGACGGAGAGATAAGAAACTTATTCTGAATTCTGAAGAGGGAGAGACGGGAGGCCACCAGTGTAAGATTGATCTTAGTGTCTATGTTTGTTGGGTGTAGCGTTCTCAGGATAGTGACCAATGGAGTGCCTTGGTGTTAGCGGCCATTAAATTCGGTTCTGCTTCCAGAGAACTGGTTAACGTCACTACTCCCGTATTATATGACGTCTAGCATCAGCGCTGATGAACTTGTTAGTTGCAGGAATGTACTGATTACTACATGGTAGTCTTGTGCCAAGTTATGCACAACGTAGCAGTTATTTAGTCATTTCAGCGGCTACCTTCATCAGAGCGTAAACAATCCGATTATAATTATTTCTGGCTCACAGGGCTGAATTACTTCGGTACATAAATGTGAGACCATTGAATCAGACTTCAGTTCCGTATATAAGAATAGTGGAAATATTTTAACATAAAAAAAAAATATGTTCACGAAGAAAGCGTAGGCAGATTACGTTTCAGGAATGTTTGCCACTATTCAGTTCAAAATCTATTACCCTTCAGTCTCCAATCTAATTTAAAATTAAGTTAAATATTTACTTGTGGGTTATTTAAGGTTTAATGAGGAACATCCTAACTTGTACTCTTATCCAAGTATAATTAGAATGATCAAGTCAAGGAGGATGTGGTCGGCAGGGCATGTAGCACGAATGGGAGAGACGAGGAATGCATATAGGTAATTGGTGGGAAAGCCAGAAGGAAAGAGACCACTGGGAAGACCAAAGCGTAAGTGGGTGGACAATATTAAAATGAATCTCAGAGAAATAGAATGGGATGGTATGGATTGGATTGATCTGCATCAGGATAGGGATCAGTGGAGGGCTGTTGTGAACATGGTAACGAACCTTTGGGTTCCATAAAATGCTGGGAAATTCTTGAGTAGCTGCAGACTTGGGGGCTCCTCCAGAAGGGCTGAGCTCCATGAGTAAGTAAATAAGTTAGTATTTAAGGTTGCTTCCGGTAGCTAGATTCCATAGCGTCGAACAGGTGGATGGTTAATGCATGATAACTTGAAGATGCGGCGTGGCCTGATAGAGACTCTATTCTCGAATTTGCCTGGGGCAATGTTTCTCAAACGCCGGACCGCGGTGCGGTACCGGGCCGTCGTCTTATAAGGAAATAATTTACCGGGCCGCGGAGTCACAAAGTTTGAGAACCACTGATCTAGGGGGACTGAGGAGAAATATGACAAATCTCGGCGAGAATAGATGATATCTCGGCCGAGATTGGAACCTAGCATATTCCGAGAAAGAGCCAAGAACACTAAAGCTATTCCAACCCGGCCAGTCTCAGAAGCTTAACATATTGTGACATGAGGACTCAAAGCCAGAATTCAGTAGTGAGAAGAAACACCAATTGCTTGACCACAACAATACAGACAGCACCAATTCCTAGACTGCGGCACATTAAACATGCGATGGAGCTATGCTCGATTATTGTTGTGGTGTGCGTGGATTTCAGTCTCCACATCTCTTTTAATTCTTCCGTAGGCTCCACTTAATTGATATTTATTCACTTTTATAACAATGAATACTATAAATTTCATTCCATATTTTTAAATCCTCCGTGGCCTTTAGCCCACAAGCGAACTATACCGACTGAGCGACCGCCGTTTGACGACGAAGTTAGTACCAACAATTGCAGATAAAGTGTGTCACGTGATCAGCGCAACGGATTCCCACGACCATTAATCTCGGTTTTCTAGACCGGACGTAATTTTAAATATAGAGAAACAAATATTAGAAGACAATCTCTGGAACTCATGAATCAGAGCCAGAGGACGTCGGCACCATGACTCGTAAACACAAAAGCCGAAAGTGAGAGGCATTATTTTTGTTTAAATTTTAATCAAATGCCAGATTGCTTTCATTCCTGCACCTGATTTGCACAATAATGTTTCTTTAATCTTTCAGTATTTATTTCGAAATTCTTTGCTACTAGGATCGGAAATAACTTTATAAGAACATTGTCGTTTTCTGTGCGCAAAAGTAAAATCTGGATTATTATAACACACAGAATCACCCGTTAGTAATGTTTACTGAAATACACGAACCAAGTCCTCATTTTGAATGACTGGAAAAGGGTACACTCATATTTACTATTTATAATGTAACGGTTTCTTTCTGTTCTAACTGGAATATATATCCAATGTAATATATAAACAGCCGCATTATTATAGAGTAATGAACCCTGTTGTAATTGTAAGTGACTGACCGACTGTTGAATTGCTGCTGGCCTTCTCCATCATAATGATTGTTGGTTCCAAGTCCCACGAGACTCACGACCATATTTTACTGTATGACGGCTCTGGGTGCTTTCGGATCGATATTGACTTATACTGATACTTGAAGACTTAAATATATTAAGTTTTATTCAAATTACTGGCGGATTTAAGAGAGAAATTTTAAGCTATAACATATGACTTACTAGCAAGTTAAAACTGTTGTATTCTATTCATTCATTCATGGAGCTGGGCCCTTCTTGAGAAGCCGCCAATTGTGCAGGTGCACAAGAACTTCCCAATATCTTATGGAACCTTAAGATTAATTGCCCTTTTCATAAGAGCCCTCCACTGGTCCCTATTCTGAGCCTGATCAATCCAATCCATACCATCCCAGCCTATCTCTCTAAGATCCATTTTAATATTTTCCATCCACTTACGTCTTGGTCGCCCTAGTTGCTCTTTCCTTCTGGCTTTCCCACCAATGTCCTATATGCTGTCCTCTTCTCCCCCATTCGTGCCACACGCCTTACTCCTCTCAACTTCATTGACTTGATCATTGTAATTATACTTGGAGGAGAGTACAAGTTATGAAGCTCCTCACTGTGCAGTTTTCTCCAGTTTCCCGTCACTTCATCTCTCTTCGGTCCAAATATTCTCCTCAGCACCGTTAATGTCAGAGATCAAGTTTCACACCCATAAGGAACCACAGGCAAAATTATAATTTTGTATATTGTAATTGTTACGTCTTCAGACAGCAGACGAGTGTTAATTTCGACAAGATACAAAGTTACGAACCGGCTCATTCTCCAAGACGCAAAGAGGCAGGGGGTTGTGCAGGTCGGCAGGAAAGCGATCCAGACGAAAAGCATGAAGGTGATGTCGAAGTGTCCGCTGTTCTCGTAAGTCTCCGCCAGAGCCAGCTTCGCCACTCTGCAACAGGGATACAGCCATATCACGATCAGGAACAGCAACTGCTTACTCAGCAGCCCAAAGGCCAATTGTAAAACAAGCTGGAGCAGCGACACAAATGAAACTAACAAAGCAATAACTGTAGCCATAATACATAAGGGGCACGCGGTAGCGTAGTTGGTTGAGGCACTATGGTATAAGCCAGAAGGTCGCGTGTTCGAGTCCCGATGAGGTCATTGGATTTTTCAACTGATCTAATCCTTCCAGCCGCACTATGGCCCTGGGGATCAACTCAGCCTCTAACAGAAATGAGTACCAGGAATATTCTTAGGGGTAAAGGGCGACCGGGCCGGTTACGGTAGCCGAGCGGTCTAAGGCGTGCACTGTCTTCGTTCGCTCGGAAGCGGGGATCGTGGGTTCGAATCCCACTCAGGGCATGGATGTTTGTGTGCGTTTTTCTGTGTTTGTGTAGAGTTAGAGGCCTTGCGACGAGCTGATCACCCGCCCAAGGAGTCCTACCGTATGTCTAAGATCTTTAAAAACCGAAGTGAACAGAGATGTTCATGGAGGTAGGCCTAGGCCCACTGGGGCTGTAGTGCCAAGGGGGGGGGAAGGCGACCGGAGCGTAAGGTTGAAAATCATTGATTTATGACTCAATCAATCAATCAATCAATCAATCTATAAATCAGTAATTCATTCTGATTCACCTACTGAATAGCTGAATCGCTCATTCATTGACTGTTTCAATCGATTAGTGATTAATCACTGATTCACCTCACTTTCAACCAATCACTAACAAGCGATTCACCCTCACTGGATCACTCACTCATTGAGATTTCTCAGCGTACGAAGGAGGAGCATCTGCTGCTCCAATTAAGTTCTGCGGCTCATGAGAAAGGAAGTAAATTCCCTCGGGAAGTGTAATGGAACGTAATGACGGCTGGAAGAACCGAGGCTCTGTCTGTCGATCTCATTCATGTTCCTGTAGAGCACTTTCCACTTCCTTGTCTGCCCATCCGTTTACTGGGCTCCACTCATCTCAGTAAAACGACACACATTTCAACTCGGATAGTCTTGGTATGAGCATGAACAGAGTTTTAAGCGCAACAGTGAAATAACGAAAAAGGTAAAGTCGTTCCTTTGTTTAACTAATTAAGCACTGCGCCATGAAGGCGTATGAGGTAGTGGATGTATAGATCCACATTTTCTTGACCGTGGCACTAGTTTGAGATGAGTGGTTAGCTTCACGCCCCGGCAGCATTACCTCAGGGAAAGAACCGCCGGTACCCATTGTATAGGAGGTTTGGTGGACCCCAGAGCTGGTTTGGACGATATGGAGAAGAGAAAATTCTTGACCCTACCGGAATTCGTGCTCCGACTTCTCGGTCGTCCAGCCCGTAGCCAGTCGCTATACCGACTGCGCTATTCTGGCTCCTACAGTGAAATAACATTAAAAAAGAAGGGTATTTTGCAGCACAGCCCTAAACGTCATACATACGAGCACCCATTATAAGACGTTACTTCAGCTGGTCAGACGGTATTTGTTTTCCCTTGCGAATGTTAAGGGTAGCTGTCCAGTTCCAATAGAACACGTTTAGCTTTCATACTATAATTCGACAATAATCGTCATCAGGTATGAAAATTTTGCTCTATCACAATTCAAGGTAAAGTTGTCCTTGTGCTTAACTGAGTACCACTCCAGCATGGTGTACACGGGTTGTAGGTGTATCGTCATGCATTCTGATACAAGGCATTAGAGGCACGTGAATGACCACTTATATTTTCCAACTGCTTTATTTCGGGGGAAGGACCCCCCGGTGTCCATTTCACTGTGGCTGGGTGGCCAACGAAACTGATCTAGACGCTCTGTAGAAGAGAAGGAATTCTTGCCTCTGCCTGCAATCGAGTTCCGATTCCTCGGTCATTCAGATTGTACCCTATCAACTGAGCTACCCATCTGTTTTCATTTGAACGCGATCCCGATAAGAGGTGCAGACATCTCAGTTAACTAACAGCATTTTTATATCCAAGGAAATGGTAGGGCTTGTAAGACCCGTATGTTCAACATTATGTCTTTAAACAATTAAGAACGGGGCATGTAGGGCACAGGGTAGATATGAGAAATGTTTACAAAATTGGTCACGAAATCTGATGGCAAATAACTACTTGGGGCACCCAGGTATAGATGGGAAAGTAATTAACTTCATGTTAAAATGAGATCTAATGCCTAGGTGAGAATAGTGGAGCTATAACTCCCCTCTCCAATGTGCCTTCATGGCGTGGTGATTATTTAATTAAGCACAGGGAAAACATTACCTAGTTTTAATATATGTATTGTATACTTTTGTTTAGGCTTAACCACATTACAAGTCGTACCTAGGAATTCTTCGTTATCAGTAAATAGAAATATAAATAACAAAGCTGAATATACGAGCCTTGCCTAAGAACCACGCGTTGATAATTTTCGGGGGAGTGAAAATAACTCATCCCTTATCTCGTTGAGTGGTGAAAATCACCCCTCCAGTCGCTTTATTAACCCAGATGTACCTTAGATATTCATTAAGTAGGAAAGTAGGTGGCCCCCTGAGCCGGTCTGGGAGCGATGTCGAAGAAAAGCGACATTATCTCTGCTGAGAACAGAATACCAGTCCACGAACATCAACCTATCAGTTTACTGATTACTGATACACGTTATGTAACGTAGTATGTTTGTATATCTAATATGATATATTTATATTTATGCTAATAAACTATATCAGTGCATGTGATCTGATATACTGTCTTAAGTAAACAAATTTGGGATATTCTTTTTGGAGTTTCGAAGTAGTAGACTATCGGTACACATAGACCATTGTTGCAGTAAGGTGTGGGGGCTCATGTGAAGCAGAGCTATGCGTACTGACTCACAGAAAAAGACATATGCAAATGTGAGGAGGGGAATAGAAAAAAATGACATTTAAAAAATAGGTTCCCTGTAGGGTTTAATAACGAATATAAATACTGTAAAATGCCTCTTTCGTCATAGAAATATTGTAGAGGGGTGTATTGGGGTCACGAAAATTACTTATACTTGAGATCTGTAGCATTTGTTACATAACGGCCTTATATTAATTTATATATATATATATTTCGAGGAGCCGGAATAGAAACTGGCTACAGGCTGGAAGAGCAAGAGGTCAGACTTTCGAGTCCCGGCAGAGGCAAGAATTTTCTCTTCTCTACGTCGACCAGACTGGTTCTGAAGCCCACCAACCCTCATATTCAATGGGTACCGAGGGCTCTTTCTCCGGGGGATAAAGTGGCTGGGGCTTGAAGCTGACCACTCACCACCAACTAGTACAGAGGTCAAGAAAACATGAATATAAACATGCACTCCCCTCACGTCTTTATGGTGTATGCAAAGTAGGGTGTACAGTGTATCGATACAGGTTGAAACAGTAAATGAATAAAATCTTCCACTTAATAGATATAGGTATATACCAAGCTTGTGCACCCCTGCTACAAAGACCAGCCGGTTAATGCTGCTTAGGGGAACAATCGCTGTTTAATGTCAGAACCATAAGGAACACGCATATACACTGTGTGGACAGAATGCAGAGTTTTAGTATGTTAAAGCAAGTGGCATGTATAGTAACCACTGGATTTTAAAGGGCTATCCATCATCTTGTTTTATTTAAAACACACAGCGTTTCAGAGACTGGATCCAGCCTCTGTCCTCAGGTGGAACCAATTGAGTTGGGCCCAATCGATATAGCCAGTCTTTAACTCCGGACGTCCTCAGGTGGAATCTATGTCCCGAGATAGGGACTAGCTCTGTCGATTGCGTTTAACTAAGTAGTTCCACCCTGAGGACGGAGACACAGTCCAGTCTCCGAAACGTTGTATGCTTTAAATAAAAAAACAGGACGATGGATAATGTCCAGAATCACAATAAATCTATTAATATGCTATCGTCACAGACTTTTAAATCTTATTCTTTAGATTGACACAATTAAAATTAAATTGAAATCCAATAAGTAATTCTGAAGACAAACACAGCGAGGGGCAAGTCTTAACGCTGATAATTGCATGTACATGCTGCAAAGAGATGATGAAGCAGTCGGGATCCAAAAGAAGTACAACCCATCGATCTATACGTAGGAGTTACGGGTGTTTAGGGACACTTTTGGGACGGGTTCCAATTTAATTAGCTCTCCCAGCGTGAAAAATGGAGTTGTTTCGTTCCTGACGGAGCGCATTTTTCATGGAGATTCACTAGAGTCTGTAGTCACTCCTATAAAAAACGCAGTGCAAAAAGTTTCTTTCTTGCTCCGAGATATTGTAGACATAGGGGGTTCAGGTGTGTGAGTGAGTTCGTGCGTCCCCGCTAGTTTTACACGTGTCTATCTAGAGCAGTGTTTCTCAACTGCCGGGCCCTCGACTTATGGAAAAAAGAATTTACCGACCGCGATCTGACAAAGTCTGAGAACCACTGATCTAGACGCAGCGAAATAATACTCATACTCATGGAGTTTATCCCTTCTTGAGGAGCCGCCAATGCTAGAGCTACTCAAGTACTTCACAATATTTTATGGTACCCGGACCGCGCCATAGTTCAAGAGGTTAGTAGCTGGCTTCCCACCGTGGCGGCCCGGGTTCGATCCCGGGGGCTACTCAAGTGGGATTTGTGGTGAACAAAGTGACCCGGGGGCAGGTTTTCTCCGAGTAATTCGGTTCCCCTGCCAATCTTCATTCCACTAATTGCTCCACAATCACCCTCACCTATCATCTAGGGCTGGTACAATAGGCCAGAAATGGTCGAAGTACAAGGGACTTAGTCCCACCCCACTAGCAATAAAAAAAAAGGTATCCGAAGGTTCATTACCGCATCCACAAGAGCCCTCTAGTGGTCCCTATCCTGAGCTAATCAATCAGATCCATGCAATCCCATCCTATCTCTTTAAGATTCAATTTAAAATAATAAAATATTTTATTTATTTGGTCTCTCAAGCTGCTCGTTTCAGCTGTAGAGTGCTTGAAGG